CAGCCAAATATAAAGCAATCACACTATCACGTTTGAATTCCATCGCGCATAAAAATTTTTCCACACAACTGAGACGCAAATCGATTAACAGGCTTGTAAACAATAAAATTATCTGTAATGTTGCAAACTTTGAGCTCGCTATCATGAACGGTTTGGAAATTATAGCAGTCTGAAGTTGGTTGCAGTTCGAGTGCCTCACCCTGTATAAACCCCCCCCCCCCCCAAAAAAAATCGTAGTTACGCCACTGGTTAAGAGTGTATTTATTCAGATAAGCATATACATTGGTCACCCACATGCGTAGGCGACACGCGCCACTGCGTAACTTGCGCTTTGATAGCGCTACACCTCCGTTCTTACCGAAAAAGGAAAGTGTATTACAATGTTGTTGTAGCCGCCTCTGTTGCTGCCGTTATTTTGCATTTGTTCTCCATAATTGCTGTTGAATGCTAACACTTGTTGTTCGTTTGTTTCTGTTCTTGATTGGATAATGGATTTGGCGACAACTTCCTTGGCGTCATCGAACTTTGTTACCTAAAATATAGATACAGTTCAAATTCTCTCACAATATTTGGACGCTCAGCGTGTAATATATAGGCAATATTTAGACGCTCAGCGTGTAAAGGGCTCGCCAGGGACACGAGAAAAAAACATGTGTCTTACTGTGGAATTGACAAAAACTCCAGAAAAAGCCCAAATAAAGTAAAATACATCCAGAAAGAAAATAGATATGTGACCTACAAACCATGGTTTCAATTAAACTCATGTTTTAACTCTTTTTTTTCTACTTGCCAATTTAATATTTATTTATATCAGTATTATACGAGTATATGCTACTGATGGTTTTCAAAAATGATTGCATCGGTGGTTTGGATTGGAAGAGTGGAAGTACATCTTTTAGATAGTATATTCAATATCCAGTCTAAACATAATCCAATTGGTACGTAGACAACTGAAGATTTTTGCTCTTCACAATTATTTAATTGATTTAGCACTGTAGCTGTTCGCTTGCAATGTTTTGCAAGCCCAAACAATACCATCTGTCCATCATTCAATACGTGAAACAGTGATTCATTAAAATCGTGCTGAAATTTGAATACATGTAAATAGAATTGGTTTAGAAAATTAGATATATATATTGGATATTTAGAATCTTAACCGACATGCATCAGAGTCCTTGCACACATTTTCAATATTAACACACAACAATTTGGTGGCGTCTTCTCCTGGATTCATTAGTTGACATACTTCATTCGAATAAAGTGAAGCATATATATCTTTTGTAATGACACTTCCTCCTATGTTGTACGAAATTGCTATTTTCCCGTAATTCATATGAAATTCTTTATCTGGCAAGTTGGCTGCTTGATCGAACGAATTGAAATTTATGCCTTCATGCACTTCTATGATTGCCACCGTAAATTATTCTGGATTTTTGTAATACTCTGGGTGAATAAATACGTAATTTGCATCCCGATGAATTTTTCTATTAACTCTGAGTTTAGTATATGGAAACCTAGTGTACGAAGAGATGAAAGTTAGTTTTGATTTTCACATAAATATTCTTAATTTACCAAAAGTTTTTCGACAACGAATCACCATTGGAATTGTCGGTGGGGACACCCGTATACGGCAATATACATTAGGGTGTTTTTGGTTTTAAATAAACAGAAAATGGTAGTTTTAGTTTGATAGAGCAGAGAATTTGGAATCGATTTCATATATTTTTGTCCGGAATCAGTCCAAGATGCCACTTCCCACAAGCAAAAAAAATTTTCGTCGAATTTTGAGGTTATATCACTATTCGCTGAAACTAATCTGATATTTTCCACTTTTTTCGATTCAATCTCACTGCCAGAGATGAATTCTCAATGCAAACATTTATTTTCACGTAATTTTCATTGGAATAAGTGGCCAAATAGTCGAAAATTCACACAAATTGTATAGCCTCTTTGACCGGTTCTTCAATCATAGAAAAAACACCGACAAACTCATTTTTTCACAGAAATTCATTCAATGGATTTGAACTAGACGCTAAATTATCTAAATCCACTAAAATATCCATTCGAAAAAAAAAACAGGAAGGCCAAATTGCAGCAAAACCAAAACGTAAACAAAAACGAGGTGTCATTATGAAATTCGGGCTTAGTTTGATGTTTGACAAGACCAAAATACATCTGCGCGAATCACTGTGTGCGAATTGACTGTGATCTGTCTGGTTCGGGATACTGGAACTAATATTGAATGAAAGGCTAGCGACCATGCGCAGTGAGTGATAGTTAAAGAGTGACTTTATTGATGTTAAGGTACATGTATATATAGGCACGCTGATGCGTGGTATATGCTTGCGTAAGCTACAGTATATGTTTGCGTGTACGCTACACCTCCTTTCCACAGAAGAAAAGAGTGTATCACAATGTTGTTCTTATGTACTGATATACACTTTTCTATCTTTTTTTCCTTCACCGTTTTTCAATTTTTTTTGATTTTTCATGTATATTTTTTTATTTTTTTTATTTTATTGTTTTTCATTATATTTTTTATGTGTTAATAAAATTCAGAAAGTTTTAAGTTTGCTTGTTT